CAGATGAATATCGTGGGAACGGCGAGCACCAGACAAAGAAATTAAGATTTATCTATATTCGAGAACGCGACGTTGTTGCGATGGATCCATCTTCGGGTTAGTTACGTAATTATAAGAAAAATGAATGTTACTTTTGATTGTTCGTCGCGAACGATTTCGGATGATTATAGAGGAATCACGAAACACTTACGAAATATCACAAAACATTCATTAGTTGGTAATTATAGATGATTTGATGAAGAGCTAGTTTGGGTATGAACTTCAGACTTAGGAGTTTCCCACGATACCTGTTTCAATAAGCTATTACCAGAGGTTTTATCCATCATACATAGGGGGCCACATCATTCCTTATTCAACCATCAACTAAAAAATATTTTTCCACAAATAAAATACAATTCCAAGATTTGTCAACCTTTCTATCTGCTCAAAAATATAATCCAGCGAAATTCTTACTCCAATAAGAAACAGGCAGTTGTCGCTACGGAATGTCGGGACAAGTGTAACACGAAAAAAGAAAATTACGGGGTAATCTCGAGGAACTAACGCTTTTCTGTAGAGAGGGTTTAGTTGTCAGCGGAAACCCCTGAATAAGAATGAAATCGTTTACAGCCGAAATCTCAGAACAGAATGAATGCATCAGCTAAGAAATGTGTTTCGAAATAACTTTCTCACTGACAAAATGTCAAGTCATAAATTTAGTCGAGGAGGGTCAACCACTTGGGCCCTTGTCTTAACTCATAAAAGTATTAACAATGAGTACCTACTCGAAACGTCCCAAGTGGTTTCGTTCTAATATCTATGTTTTTTGGCATGTTCCGTTCAAGAGACGAGATCCTTTCAATGATATGCGATGAAAAAATACAAAAATGCCGAGTAAAAATTGAAATAAAAGAATTAACATAAGAAACCCGAGCAGATGGATATTTTGGACGACTGCTAGATAATATATAGAGTTATGGAAAGTTAATTTCCTAACAAGAATTTATACTACAAAAACAAAAATCAACAACGAAATAAAATGTTTCCAAAGTAAGTAGATGTAGGAAAAACCCTACAGGAAAAACAATTCCAGGTGCTGATTTTAAAGTATGTCATACCTTTATCGGTAGGGTTATTCCATGCTTATTCAACGAAATTCCTTACGAAGTGGACCGCTTCCGTTGATCTTTTTTTTCATTTGAAAGGTAACACCGAAGTTGTAATCCCATTTAAACTTTCATAATTTTCTACAAACAGATTCTAGAATAATTCTATAGCAAGCCACCCGATTTTGATGATTTCTTTCATGTATATTTTGACATTAGGTATTTTTCTGTATACTATTTCTTCCTCGTTAACAGAAACTGTTCTGGTAAAAACTGTATTAAAGTAAAAAATAATATTCAATGTGAACGTTATGATTGTTTCCGTGTTAGGAATCACACGTTAAAAGGTAAGACCTCGTTAGTCATTAGCTCGCACAAGTTTCTCAACTGCGTTGTCGTTCGTATGGGGGCGACAGCTGATTAACGAAAAAAACAGATTTTGAAACATATTTTGAACAGATTTTTCCCCATTCTGTTTTATCTCTCTTTTTCTGATAAATATTCTGAAATGCAATGTTAATCTTATCTTTGTTTAGGAGATATCCATGTTAAACAGGTCATGTAGCTTGACTCCTCAGATACGCAAAAAATGGATATTCTGGGAATCCGTTCTGTACATTATGTTATCGATCCTTTCCACGAAAATAAGTACATCATCAGACGATTCTCAGTATTTTGTCAGATCCTGAGTATATATCTCCGACGATGTCGAGGATATACCCGGCCCGAAGGACCAAGTTTATTATAAATTCAAGATTGTATGTTTTAAAACTTGCTTCCAATGACATGATATAAACTTTCAACAAGTAAATGTCATCAACGCTACATTAAACATGGCCGAGTATAAGGCAAATGCCCCTAAACTTGATTTTACTTATGTTAGAATTTATTTTAGTTGAAAATGAATATTTTTAGCTGACAGTCGAATCATTCTGCAGAAGTACACAAAATAAATAAATCTCATATTGAGCAAGCTCATCACATTTGTAAAGAAAACCATGTGAATGGAATCCCACAAACTTTTCCTTGGAACAACTGTACGGTTGCACGATAATCATCATCCTTCTAGGGCTAAATTGAAACAGATGGAACTCACAACGTAAGCTCGTAAAACGAACAATAGCATGAAAATCCGAAAGTACATTATTTTTTTCATAGTTGGTCAAATTTCCGTAACTACTTCCTCTTGCGGTATTGCGGCCTAGTGAATATGCAATTTAATACACGATGAAATCAGGGTAATGAAACGGCATTGAGAAAGACAAAGAGAGAAATGAGAATTTTGGTTCAAAACAACTCAATTATAAATAACATTTCAGCAACTCATAATTTTTCGTAGTGGCACAGGGACCCACAGACTGACAAATACTGATGGATTATCATTAGAAAATTAGTTTGCACATTGTGAACCTAAATAGAAAAGGGTTTCTTTAACGTCTTTCATCTAGCTCTCATGAATACTTAATCCCTTTTCTATTGCACATAGACCGAAACTCACTATGTGGTAGTCACCACAAGATAATAAATTGCCGTTTTTAGATCTCCTTTGGGTTTAGTGGGATGAGGGCTTCGAACTATCCTAGACCAACTTGGGGGCATAGCGCCAGATGGGCCTACTCTCAAGAGATGTATCTAATACGCGGCAGATGTGTCGGTTTTTCCTCTCCCGCATTGCTGGAGTGTATCCAGTTTTATTTCTTTAAAGCAAACATTCCACGGGGTGTGTAAAAGTTTTTCATCTACTCTGGTGTTCATACGGCCAATTTAGACTTGATAGTTCTTGTCCCTGCCCTATTTTCACTCTCAAGAGAAAGTGCAATGTGTATGTATCTTTAAAAGCATTTATCCGTTTTACGTTCTTATCTCAGTCTTTGTACTTAATCGTAACCTTGAAAGTTACCGAATTTCTACTTTTAAGACTGAGATTGAGGCAGAGTCAATAAAACGCAGGCCCATTGACACCCGTTGATTGATTGTTGATAAGTGTTACTTTTGAAAAAAATTACTTGAAACATTTTCACCAAATTTATAGGGTCAAAATTATAATAAAACAATAATGGAATTGGGATATTATGGTCGATGTCCATGCTTTCAATGATGGAGATTCTGATTTACCAAAAAAATAGCATTTTTTCAAAAAGGCTCCAAAATTGAGCTTTATATTGACCAGATGACAGATATCTACTGAAACTGGAACAGAGACTTGATTGAGATAAGGAACTATGATGTCTAAATTAGACCTTAGAAGTAAAGAAGACTCGAAAAATGATAATGTAGGCAATAATAATTCACAATTTACTGAAGCCTCTAGACAAATTCGTGACTTGAATTCAACGTTCTATTTCCGAAGTTGAGTCATTCAGATACAAGACTGGCGTGGGAATACAAGATAAATTCAAACACAAAGTTTGTTTGATTTTCCCAAATCCACTACGATGTAAAATCAATAGAAACTAATGGCTCAGGAAATAATCAGATATTTTACCGTCTTACTCTAACAAACGCGATGCACGAAGAAAGGATTGCCTTTACTCACGTCAAGGATTCACCACAGTGTTGCCAAATTTCGGAACCAAGTCTACAGTCTCAGTTTTTCGTTCAAGTTTTTCTTTTGTTTATGTGTTCAGCTCTCGATTTAATATGCTGGTGTTCTTGAACGTTTACCAGCACTATTCAAAACTCTAGAATCTCATACCTTCAAAGTAGGTGAACATCATTAAAAAATAAAGTTACGATAGTTGCTTCGTAACTATCACATTATTCAAGTGTGTACTCTTATACCAACACCATTGCCTTTATTATGGTCTTATTTAGAATAAAATTGCTCAACTTTTGTTCCGTGGCCTCAGTACCTGAACATAACCAAATAAGATTCGACCGAGTTAAAACCGGCAACACCGCCTCGCTACCGTGGGAACAATCCAAAGTCGTGCGTAAGTAGTTAACGTGAAAATATCGTCATGATGAACAATCGAAAGGCAACCTTAAGTAATGGTACTCAAAGCTCACTGGATTATTATACCTCAAGAACTAATATTAATTGAAAGAACTTCAAGCATGTGAAGAATAATCATGAGCTTTTCGGACTTATCTACATTTTCGAATGATTTAACGCCATTACAAATGTATTTCGAATTACCGCTTGTATTTTTATAACACGTAAAGTGATGTTTTATTGAATTACGAGAAACAGAACACGCAAGTAGAAATTGAATTTACAAAAGGAATAGCTTGTAGGTCAATATCGATTGCAGAAGTCGTTATGTAACGATTTTCACGAATGTTTATCCAGTCCCAAGGGTGATCCACGGTTATCGTACACAGTTATAATTGCTCCATAAAGAAAAATGTTCTTTAATGATTTTGAATATTTTTGGAATATATAGATGAGTAGGTACCTATTAAGAATGAAGAAGTGTTGCCTATTGATGCACAAATTTTAGTCATAGGTTTAAGAGGAACTATATATTTGCCAGAGAGAAACGAGAGTATACCTATAACAGATTGTTTGAAAACAAACATTTTTGAAAAATATCATTAATTTTTTGTAGGTATGAATATTTTCTACTATTTACACACCTATACGTAGGTACTCATTTGTTAAATGACAATTGATAAATAATATTTATATTAAGTCTGCTGATAAAAAGGTTCAATGAAAATATTTTGAAATAGATAGGCTAATCTATAGTTGATAACAAAACAGTAAAAGTTAATAGGATCATAGATGTTAGTTCAGAACTCAACAAATTTTGAAGAAAAAATTTGAATTGTGATCTCACAGAAACTATAAATGATTTTCATAAACGTTCTTTTTCAGCAAAGGAAGGAATGGCATTTATCTTTTATTTTGAGTTTGAGGCAAATGTATGTACGTTTTTTTTGTATCGATAAAAAAATCTTTGAAGAACTAACCTAATCCCATACGACGTTTGATTTTCTTCAAAACCTTCATTTTGCTTTTGAGCGGCGACAAAATACTATCTCCTTTCTGTTCCTCAGCTTTGCAGTGGCAAGCCTTGTTTTCCTTTATCCCCATCAGTCACAAAACACACGAGTTTTTAATAGCACACACAGTTTTCGAATGTTTCCATAGAGTTCAAATATATATACACGAACGAATTCAGAAGACACACTAACAACACCACCCTAACCTGACGAAGAGAGCGTTCACACTGAGTAATTCTGGAGCTGGCAGCTAGAAAAGTATCCGAATTTTTGTGCGTGGTGGGGAGCGGAGCATCTGCAGACACGAGTCACCGGCCAATCAGCGCTCAGACACACGCCGTATGCTTTGGAACAGCCGCCTTAGCAGATGTGACTCCCTATCTTGAATTACCTGAAGTTATACCTATTTACCTGTTGTTAAGTGTATCATGGATTTCGGGAGGTTTTCCGACGTAAACAGTAGTCGGGGTCAATGGATATTGTTTTAGATATGGCGAGTTGTGATACAGGGTGCGAAAACTAAAGTAACGTTTGCGAAATATCTTGATAATACAGCTATTAGGTAGTGCAATTCCTAATAATTTTGTATTTGTACTAAAACTAACAATAAACCCTATAAGGCTCTGGAAAGTAGGTACTCATTATTTTATGGTAATTAATTAATGTTTGTTTCTTAACATACAGAAATTGAAAACGCATGAACATGGGTTACTATAACTGGTAATGAGTATTATTTCTGCTTTACGTCAAACTCCAATTGTATTAATTGAATATCTCATTCAACAGTGTCATTAACGCTTTTAGGCGCCAATTCACACAGAACGAAGGTCGGGCAGAGAAGGAGGGCAGACTTTTGTCTCACATTACACTATAAAAAAATAATATATATTTACACATTAAACATTGATGAATAGTAAACTTCACACTATAATAACAGTATTGAATAGATAATCAACTATCATTGATTACTGATAGGTATATTTAAAGATTTTTTTTTATGATTTTATTCGACAATTGAAGTATTTTAAGTTGATTTGGGAATAATATGTTAATATTTGCATTTTCATCACCAGTTCAGTATGATCTTTTTTTGAAAGACTAATGCTTGAAGAATCTAGTAAGTGAAAAGTTTCCTAAATTATTGATTTCAATTAATTCCTTTGACTCAAAAATTTGAGTTATCTATTGAAATGTAAAATGAGGTGATTAAAAGAAGCAGATCTGAGGAATTCAGGAATGATTTCGTAACGTTTTTCAAAGTTTTTTAATTTATTTTCAATTCACAATATTGAAAGGTTATAAAATACAATTACTTTTTTGAACTTGAGACGGGAAAAGTTGAAAAATGTAGTAAATTACAAAATATTCTTTTTGTTTAAGTGTTTTGTTTTAAAGTCTTCATTTGTTTTTGAATACATCAAACTGTTTGACAATATTTCATAGATAACCTCTTAATGTCGCCTAATTGAATCAGGAGAAGAAGAAAAATATACAGGATTCTCGTCAAAATTCTTGACTTGGGTTAACTTGCTATCAAACCCGAAATAGGTTTTCAATTGATATAGCAGTGTGTGAAATAATTTCGTTTTCACCCGTATGGAGAGTCGCCAAGAAAATAAATTATTGTCCGTAGACTGTTGCACAATGCAGAGTGCTTTCAAACCGGGAGATGTCTGAAGTTTTCCTATCTCGGGATTTATTTTCTCCTTCGAATCCGATGTTAGTAGAAATATATCGGCCTAACGGGAAATTGAAACCAGGAACGAAGGAAGAGCGCTACTGGCACGAAAAATCTTTGATATATGGAGCCACCGAATTTATAGCCAATTTCTTCGGTTTAGAAATGTGAGCAGTAGACGAAATTATCTCGAGAGAGGTTTGTGATTTATAGTAAGTTAAATACGAGAGAAATTCCAAAAATCGACGATCAGTAACTTGTCGTTTTCATAAATTTTGCTTACAATTCGTAAAAATAATAAAATAATAATAATAATAAAAGTAACCTACAAATAACAAACTGTAGTGTTCCTCTAGGCATGGTTTTAGGGCCCCTACTCTTTTATTTACAATTATGACTCACAAAATTAAAATCTTGATGGTAATCTTTATTCATATGCGAATGACACTGTATATGTAGTGGATGGAGATAACTGGGATGAGACCATATTAAAGGTTGAAGTTGGTATGTCAGTTTTAAAACATAAATTTGAGTTATGACTTGCTCAGACTTGATATCCCGAAAACCGAATTCATTACAAACACAGAATAGGTGTTTGCCTTGAACGGTAGCCGGTCGGTTCGACGTGGGTGCTTTGTTCACTCGCTCAATCGACCGCCGTGTTAGTCGGTGGTTCAAGCCGCAGGCTGAAAGATCGATTTTCACTTCCTATCGTCCAACCCGTGTTAGAAATCACATGTTTTAAAGTAAGACCTCGTTAGTCCTTATCTCACACAAGTTTCGAGTTTTGAGGGTTGTCATTCGTAGGGGTGCGAGAGCTGCTTAACCGAAAAACATATTTTGAACATATATGTATATATTTTAATGTTTTATCATGGCATTATTTTCTAATATCATGACCTATGGAATCAGCCTGGGGTGCTGCATATGAAAATTCATTGAGATCTGCCAAGTCTTTTAATAAATATGCAATAAAAATAATGTTTAAAAAACCTTTTAGATTTCCATTGAAAGTTTTATTCAGATAATATTTCATTTCAACCATCAGACAAACATTCTACAAAATCAGTACATTTTTTACAGAAAAACAACCTTCTGCAAACACTTACATGATGGAACATCAGTATGTATAATACAAGATTAAAAACCAATAAATTATTTCAAATTGCTAAGTGTACTCTACATTTAATGCAACAACACTCAATATATATTGGTTGTGAAATTTACAATGTAATTCTTAAAAAGACTGAAATGTTGAGATTAACAGTATTGAAAAAACATTACACAGTTGAGGAAATAATGTGGAAAAAATTAAAAATGTGCTCATATACCCCTTTCAATTTGAAAATATTATTGTTGATCCATTTCTTCTTTTCATTTAGTTTTTTTTGAACAATATCTACTAACAGTTGTTCTAATTTTTATTTTTCAACTAACCCAGTCAAACACAAGCAGATTGTGTTGAAATATTATGCATGTACCTACATACTAACTTCTTTTTTTTAATTTATACTTATTCACTTGATATTGTACATTTGTTAATACATTTAATTTCAGGTCAACAAATATGGCACCCACATGTTTGAACATATTAGTGTTCTGAGTATGGTAACATTAAAACTAATGTTTGTAGACTATAGGCTATAGTTTTTCTAGCGTTTTCCAAGCGAAAGCGTTATAAATTCATTAAAATTTCTAGAAATATATCAAGGGTGGAAATTATTTGAATTGACAGCCTGCATACCTAATGATAAGTGAACCTGTCTGTTTGAGAACCTTCAAAGTTGTCATAAATTATTCAAATTTAAATATAATCTTTTCCAAACGGTAACCAATTTGAGTTCCTTCATCACTATTTCTGGGTGACCTTTGCCAATAACCTTGCCTGATCTGAACTGTTGGATATGAAACCCTGTCAACACGAAATTGTAAAAATGCTCTTGAAAAAAATCAATAATTAATCTAATTTGACGCATATTCTTACCGAATCGTTACTATACATAATTCAATATTTTTGTTGAATTCAACTAAGTTATTCCGTTCTATTTACATATCATTTAACGCGTTGTAGGTAAACATAAAATTTCACACACTCCGTGAATGCGCTTCCAGGTAGTCATTCAACTGTTTCTTTGAAGAATGAAGACTGAAAAGTTCCCACAGGTCTCAGAGATCTTGCATCATGTGTTTTCCTTTTAAATGTCGTAGGTGGACTTTAAATCTAGGTAGTTTTTGTTTGTCAGTATCAGCTGTTCTCCAACCTTGCCCAAAGTTACGTAAAAAAAGTTTTGAACTTTACGTCAGAGATTCTCAAGGTATTGTCGTATATACCTGACTGGTATAGTGAAGTTACTGAAGGATAATAATGTTTGCGGTTTTTAACAAATGAATGAAAGATGACCTCGAAAATGTCTTGAAGAAACACATCCAAGTTGCTTACTTCAGACTGGGCCTTCAGGTGGTAATAAAAGACGTGTTTTGTTCGAAGACTGAATGGCACACTTCTTTGGCACAGGCCTTTTTATTTCTACAGTATGTGCAAAGAATAGTAATAATAATAGTATTTATTGCAACAGCAACGGTTTTCCGTTCATAGGACAATTTTACAAAATTTTGGATAGCGACACACTAACCATCTATAGGTATGGAATAATATACTTTACCACTTACTTTATACACAAAAATAATCATAAACATCAGTCGAGAGTTTCGCAGTGTGACTACAAACACCGTGACACGACATTATACTCATATTTGATTTAAAATCAGAAACTTTTTGAAGCATAGGTATCATTATTTATATTGTATGAACAATATGTATAGTTATATGAGAAATTCGATTTTGCGTTGTTTTTTCTTGAAAAAATTCATCGTAGATTGATTAGTACAACAACAGATATTTGCATGGCAACAACGTTGAAGTTGTTTTATTTTTCATGGACATAATAATGATGGATATATTAATTACACTTCAATAGTAATGCATGAATACTTTATTTTGAAGTGAAATTGACAGATGAAACTTTCAAGATGGCGACTGGGCGCCATCTGGGAAAAACAAATTAAATGGAAAGGGGAGTCTTGTAAGACATCATTTTGAAGCTCCTGATGAATACTTCACAAGCCTAGAATATGAAGTCAATATATTCACCTACTACAAAATTGCGGAACATTTAATAACTTCCTGAAGACAAACACATTAATATCGATATTTCTAGAAATATTCCTTTTTATCTGCCATATGGCAATTCCAACAACCCGATAAGGTTTGTTGAATTATTTTTTGTTTAAATAAACGACAAAAAATGTCAGTACGGCAATGAACATCATTGTTCAGCTAGAATAGTCTCATTTAGTTTTCGGTTTTACTAGTAGAAAGGTACCACGTCAACAATCTCTAAAATAGTCAATTCTCGTCCATTGAAAACAAAATTGAAACGATTTTTATTTACGGTGCGACGCGTAACTTTCACGAGACCGAAAGGATTTTCAATGAACGTTTTCCGAATCATCCTATCTGTAGAAAATATTTAAGGGAACTTGTATTCAAATTCACAACTAC